TTTTTTAAAAAAAAAAAAAAAAAAAGGCATGCTGGGTTGCATTAACAAGAGTCTCTTGTAAACCAAGAGGAGTGATCTATCCACTCATTTCAGCACTGGGGTATTGGGCCCAGTTTTCAGCCCCACACTTCAAGAAAGATGTAGACAGATTGGAAAGATTCCAGCTGAGAGTGACAAAAACTATTGGAGATCTGCTAAGCGGGACTTAGAAGGAAAGGCTGAAAGAACTATGACTGTATAGTTGGGAGAAGAGAAGACAGTGGGGATTTTGATAAGTCTTCAAATACCTGAAAGGCAAGTATAGATATGGTGGAGATGGACTTTTCTCTGCCTGTGGGGGAGAGGACTAAGAACAATGGCCTCAAGCTGCAGCAGGGAAAACTTAGATTGGAGATTATGGGAGCTTTCTGACTATGAGGGTGGTCAGGCATTGGAACAGGCTACTTAGAGCTGTAACCTCTCCATCCCTGAACATTTTCTAGAGCAGGTTAGATATTTGTCAGGGATGATCTTGCCCTTAGCAGAGGGCTGGACTAGGTGACTTCATGAGGTCCCTTCTCACCCTGCATTCCTGTGATCCTAACCTGAGTCATAATACAAGGGGGGAGGGGTACTTACAGCTGCTCTTACGAAGCAGAACATTTTATAAGCAGCAGTATGTCTTCCTGACACACTTGCTGATGTGACAGATTCATGCCAATGGCTCAATAAAGGTGACTGAGTACAGCATCCATGTTGATTTATTTGTGTTTCATCAACAGCAGTGTGGGGGCACTCTGGGGTTCTGGGCAAGCAGTGGCTAAGAGGCGTTGGTTGGTATGGAATGAATGACTGCTTTGTGGTTCCATCCCCTCCCTGTGTGTGGGGAGGGGTCCGCTGAGCTCTGATGAGATTGGGGTGAAGAGACAGCAGGTGAGGAGGTGTGCTTGCTGACTGGCCTGTCTTTCTTCCCCTTTGCAGGTGGGCTGCTCTCAGATCCTCAAAGAGTCTGAGAAGCCACTGCAAGCAGGTACACCCTTGGGGCAGAGTGAGAACCAGTCCAGCAACTCCCCAGGAGGAGACAGTGCAACTGCAGGTGAGTTGAAGCTCTGGGAAACCTGACACGTCAAAGAAATGGCATTTCCACCATGTGTGCACATGTGTACATGGGCTTTTCTCCAGAGGGAGTAGGAGAGGGAGGTTCAAAATCCAGCCTTGCATCTAGTATCTCCATTTCAGAGGAACGGGGGAAGAAGACCCATCGGAGACTAACTAGGAACCCTCCTGGCAGTAGTAACATGAGAAGGGTCTGGTCTTCTCCATAGGAAGGCTGTCCTGGGGTCATGTTGTGTGCAGAATGTTAACTGAAGGAGATCTGCTTTTGTGAGGAATAGGGTGCCTGACATACTTGGAGACCCACTAAAAGCAATTAGAGGACTACTCTGCCATTGTCTTTGAACCCCTCTCCAGAAGGCTTCTGTACAGATTTCATCCATTGGCAATCCCTCACAGTCAAGGATGGTTGTCTTCTGTGATTTGCTTTATATGTGGTTCCAAAGATGAGTGATGAGGCTGTTTTGGGAATGACAGACTCTTGCAACTTGGGCATATGTTTCTGTGTAGGGTAGGTGGCTCTGGAATCTTGGTTAGGTCCACAACATTCTGTTTTTGCTACTCCCACTTCTGTTTCCTGTTGTTATTGTAAGCTTTCAAAGTAGTGAGATACCTGCAGTGGCCTGTTCCTTCATTTGGGGTGGTCTTGGGTGATAGTCTTCCACAATTTGATGTTGATGTTACTTTTTTTTTCAAGTTGGCCTTGAGGACAATTTTTAAGTGCTTTTCTCTGCCCTCCTCTTGAGCGTGCATCTTGACTAAGTTGGGAGGACAAAAATTGCTTCTGGAGTCAGATGTCTGGATGACGTGGCTGGCCTAACAAAGTTGATGTTGGATGATCATTGCCTTGATGCTCGTGGTGTTTGCTTGTGAGGGGATGCTGATGTTGGTGCGTCTAACTTCCCGCTGGATTCGAAGGATCTTCCATAGGCAACATTTGTACTTCTCTAGTAATTTGAGGTGTTTCTTGTATGTTGCCCATGTCGCAGCTCTGTACAGTAAGGTGGGGATCACACTGCTGGATAAACCATGAGCTTGGTTTTGGATCTAATGTCACGATCTTCAAACATTCACTTCTTTAGGCATCTGAAGGTTGCACTTGCACTTTTAAGGCAACGTTGGATTTTTTTTATCAATGTCAGCTTCCTCTGAGAGATGGCTTCTGAGGTGTGGGAAATACTCAACATTCTCCAGAGTCTCACCATAAATCTGAATTACTGGAGCTGAGGATTGCTCATTATGAGCTTGCTGATGGGGAGGACCTTAGTCTTCTGTAAAGTTAAGCAGCAGTCCCATTATCTTACATGCCTCAGTAAAGACGTTGATGATTGCCTGAAGGTCTGCCTCTGGCATCATCAGCATCAGTCCACTATAGCATCATCAGCCAACTACAGTAAAATCAGCATACTGGAGCTCAATGATTGAGGTTGGGATGGTCTTGGTTTTGGCTCAGTCAGCTGAGATTAAACAGTTTACCATCCATTCTGGTAGTGGAGCTCCACTCCGACTGGAAGCTTGGTGGTGGTCAGATGTAACATCACAGTAAGGAATATCGAGAAGAGTGTTTGAGTGATGACAGATCCCTGCTGAACTCCCATCTTAACTGCAAAGGGATCTGTGATAGATCTGTTACTGAGAATCACCACTCGCGTACCGTAATGGAGCAGTCAGAGAATGGTGACAAATTTCGGTGGGCATCCATACTTAAGAAGGATCTTCCACAGTGCTTCTTGGTTGACAGTTGAAGGCTTGCATGAGGTCAAAGAAGGCCATGTAGAGGGATTTATGTTCCTGGCATTTTTCTTGCTGCTGGCAAGCTGTGAAGATCATGTCAGATTTGCTTCTTGATGCCCTAAATCCACACTGAAGTTCCAGGAGGAGCTGTTTAGCAAGTAGAAGGAGATGGTTCAGGAGGGTTCTCACAATGATATTTCCTGTAGTGGACAGCAAGGCAATCCCTCTGTAACTTCCACAGTAAGACCTGTCTCTCTTCTTGAAGATTGTCATGGTCTTGGAATTTCTGAGGTAATCTGGGATTTCCTCATTGTTCCAGATCCTTAATATGAGGGCATGGAGCTATGATGTGAGCTCCTCCCCACCCACTTGAATACTTCAGTGGGGATTTCATCAACTCCAGATGCCTTGTTCTTCATCTGCTTGATGGCTTTCCTCACCTTTTCAAGGGTTGGAGGGATTCCAAGATTGGAGCACTCTTATCAACAACAGAGTCTTGACTGAGAAGGTCCTCAAAATGTTCCTTCCAATGGGTGTTGATGGCTCCCCTTTCCTTGATCAAGTCTTCTCCATCCTTAGTCCTCAAGACATTTGGTCCCTGAGTGTTTGGACTGTAGATGGCTTTGATGGCACTGGAAAAAAAAAAAACCAAACAGCTATGCATATTGTGGTTGTCAGCGAGATGTTGAATGGCCTTCGCCTTTTCTTTCCACCACCTCTTTTGGACTTCTGCCTAGGCTTGTTGAAGATTCAGTTTCTTTTACTTGGGGTTGGTGTCATTCTGCCAAGTACAAAAGCCTTGTGCTTCCAGTTGATCAATTCTTGGATCTCCCAGTCATTCTCATCAAACCAGTCTTGATGTTTCCTGGGTGAGAATCCAGGTATCTCTTCATAGGCGCTGATGATGGTGGACTTGAAGACGCCCCCAGCATTGCTGACTTTCACCCATTGTTGTTGATTGGACAGTTTTTTGTTTTTTTTTGTTGAGGCACTGGTGAAATAGTTCTTGCTTGATTGGGTCTGTGAGTCCTTCAGTGTTGATCTTCTGTGGCATTTGCTTCTGCTACAGCTGTTGTTCAGGAACCAGTTTGAGTGGCATAATCAAGTGGATGAGTTGGTGATCAATCTGGGTGTCGTCGGCTCCTAGCATAGCTCGGATGATGTGGACATCTTTGCAGTTCTGGGCACAAACAATGACGTCAATCAAATGCCAATGTTTAGATCACAGGTGGTGTCGTGATGTCTTTGCGCCTGTTTTTGTGGCAGAATAGGGTGTTGGTGATGGTGACCCTGTTCCGCACATTTGGTCAAGAGGAGGATGCCGTTGGACTTGACCTTTCCCAGTCATTGCTTACCTGTGGTTCTGTTCCAGAGATCTGAGTCCCTTCCGACTCTGGCATTGAAGTCGCCAAGCAGAATAAGTATGTCTCCCTCCAGAATGTCAGAAAGGACTTGGTCAAGGTTGGCATAGAATTCCTCCTTGGTTTTGTTAGCAGCATCAAGAGTCAGGACATAAATGCTGATGACAGTGGCATATTGGCTTCCCACAACTTAAGACAGGTAGTCAGTCATGAGGCAGTCAGGGAACTCATTGAGTTGGTTCATGAGTTCATTCTTAATGACCAAACCAGCTCTGTGAAGTCAGCATTCTCAGTCCTGCCTACCTTCCAGAAGAGGATACAACCACCTCCTTGTTCTTTGAGCTGCCTATCTCCCACTTGCTGGGTCTTGCTTACTACAGCAACATCAGTGTTCTTCTGCCTGAGTTCTTGAGCCACAGTTGCAGTGCAGCACTTTGGGTGCTTACTATTAGGATTATCTATGAGGGTCCTGAGGCTCCAGGTCCCAAAATTGATTGTGTGTCTTAGATGATTTTGACCACAGTGAAGGTGATCCCATTGGATGCAGTTATCCAGTCAGGAAGAAGGTAGGCAGATTATGTTTAAGGCACCTTTTCTAGCCCCCTCCCCATGTGGGATGAGCTGAGCAGATCTTGATGAGGGCTGTTCAGTTGCAGTTGCCATTGCCAAATTGCACTCCTGCCTCATTCAAGAGCTAGATGACCTCCTTGTAACTGCTGCTTCCATGCCAGTTCATGACTAGGACCTTTCAGACCTCACAGCCCTGCTCATGGAAGATGCCTGCATATGATTTCTTTTATCATGGAGAAGTTGCTGCACAGCAGCTTCCACATGGTTCTTGACAGAATGGGACCTTGATCCAATGGCGAGGAAGCCAGGACAGTTGGAGTTCTTGTTCTGCCACAGCCTTCATCCACCTTCACAACTGTTGAGATTCTGACATCTTCCAGCTGCTCTACTGTTGAGGAATTGTAGACCCATGCCTGGGGGCTGGGCAGGCTTATTATAAAGGCATCCTGTACTCGCCATGTCACAGCACCGTCAAAAAATGCAGGTGGCCTTTCAGGAGGGATCACATTGACACCTGCTGTCCCCACCACATCCTGGTGGTGCTGCTGCTGCTTGGTTCACAGCTGCTTATTTGTCAGAGTTACTCCTGCTTAATGTTGAAGGTGATGCCACTACCCACCTCTTGTGAATGTGCTGGGTAGCAGCGCAGCTCTGCTGCCAGCTGTACAGACTGACAACTGGGTGGCTCTCCATAGACCCCTGGCTGAGTTTATTTGGGGCATATCTGACCACTGGTGGTAGGTAGGAACAGTGCATAATGCTGACATACTTCCTTTGCTTGTAACAGTTTCACACTCTGTTTCCCTAGAGCTGGACAAGAAAACAAACCTACTGAAGTGTGAATACTGTGGGAATTATGCCCCAGCCAGCCAGTTCCGTGGCTCCAAGAGGTTTTGCTCCATGACTTGTGCAAAAAGGTAACAGCCAGGCATTGTGTGCTTCCTCTCTGTCTGTTTCCCATGGGTAGGCACCTTTGTTTCCTGAATGAGATGCGGAGAGCTCAGTCCTTCTGGGCCTCCAGGCAGGTCTGCATTGGCCATGGGAGAGCCTGCTGGATTGGACCTGTACCTTGACCATCCAGTGAAAAGATGCTCACTAGTTTGGCAGAAGGTGGGTGCAGCCACCCAGCCTTACACCTGGGATATTTCTACATCTTGGAGGACCCTTTTCCATGGTAGTTGTACCCAGAGCTGGCCAAGCTGACATGTTACTGGCACTCTGCTCGCTTGTGCTAACTATATGGTCTTCCCAGGCTGTGGGGCTCTGAGCTCCCAGAGAGCATAAGGCAGAAACCACATGGGAAAATCAGGCCAGAAGTTGTCTCCTCTGGTTGCAAGTTGCTCTCGTGGATCCTGTTACACCTTGGAGGAAGGGATCTGATTAGTGCACAGCTCAGGGTCTCTAGGTGTTGGTTGTGCAAAAACAAGTATGTCCTTTGGGAGAAGGGCTGGCTATGGTGGAGCAGACCTTGGTGCTTCATAACAACAGGGAGTTGGCATCCCCCATATTCTGTATCCTTGTCTTCTGGACCAGTCCCTATCTTCATTTGGATTAGGAAGAGTAGAACTGTTTCCTTTGACTTCTCTTCTCTTCCTTATTTAAGGTACAATGTTAGTTGCAGCCATCAGTTTCGGATGCAGAGGAAAAAGATGAAGGAATTCCAGGAAGCTAACTATGCCCGTGTGCGTCGGCGTGGGCCTCGGCGCAGCAGCTCAGAGATTGCTCGAGCCAAAATCCAGGGCAAGCGGCACCGGGTGAGGATACCTCTTCTGGGGTGGCCTGTGCTGGGGCTTCTGACTTTTGTATCTCAGCCATGCTTCAAGCCCACTGGCATTATTCATATCCTTTCTGTTGGATGTCCTGCCTCTCAGGCTTTGGACATACTGCTTTGGCTGAGATACAAACAGAAATTCTGGCCATTTGTGGTGATGGGGACGAAATTCCCATGGCTATATGGCTAAGTCAGATGTCCTAGCCGAAGTTCATTAAGCCTCAGTAAATTGCCCCTTCCATCTGAAACTCCGGGGGAAATGTTGTTCTGCCGTGCTCCTATGATGGCGGTGTGAATGTGGCTCTCCTTGTAGAAATATCTGTCTCATTCTACCCCAGATGCAGCTGTTGGTGTGACCATTTCCCACTCGCATAGTATATGGAGAATATGCTTCAGGCAGAAACCATGGAGCTGATCACTCCAAGCTTCTCCTGATACCGAGAAGTTACCCTTGACTTATCTTCCTTTTTTTCCTCTGCACCTGCCTGGTACGTGGGACCTGCAGGGCCAGGAAGACTCCAGTCGAGGCTCTGACAACTCCAGCTATGATGAGGCTTTGTCTCCAACATCCCCTGGACCCCTGTCAGTGAGGGCCAGTCACGGAGACCGGGACCTTACCAACTCCAGCATGGCCCCACCTACCCCTGACCTACATGGCATCAACCCAGTGTTCCTGTCCAGTAACCCCAGCCGCTGGAGCGTGGAGGAGGTGTATGAGTTCATCGCATCCCTGCAGGGTGAGCTTAAGCCCCTCTCTGGTCTCCCCTTTCCTTGGATATATGTCCTGAGAACAGGGAGGGCTGTCAGGTGCCTTTTTGATATCATGGGATGAAAGGTGCTGACAGGGAGATTGAAATGTGGAGGCTGGTGCCCCATATTCTTGTTCCTTCTTACTCCTATCCCCATGGGTCCTGACTAAGGAGAATCCTGAGCTGGAGGAGACAGTATGGTCCACCCTCCTTGTAGCTCCCTAACCTAGGGACAGTAGGTTAGGGAGCTTCCTAGCCCACTTCTTTTTCTCACTTGTCAGGCTGGCAGGGCAAGATGAGAGCAAGGGCACACTCTCAGAACAGGGAGTATGTGGGCAGTCTCACTGTGCCTCCCCCTTCTCACTCCTCTTGCAGGCTGCCAGGAGATTGCAGAGGAGTTCCGCTCACAGGAGATTGATGGCCAGGCTCTGTTGCTGCTGAAGGAGGAGCACCTGATGAGTGCCATGAACATCAAGCTGGGCCCTGCCCTCAAGATTTGCGCCAAGATCAATGTCCTCAAAGAGACCTAATGGCCTTGGTGCTTGAGGTCTCCCTTCTGCCTGGACCCCAGGGCACTCACTGGCCTTGGGGGCTACCTGCTGGGCAGTGGAGGGAGGGAACAGGGCCGTTGTCCTTGATCTTGCATAACAGAAGGTTGAGGGAGGACATTTTTTAAGAGTGAAACTGCCACTTGGAAGCCCAGGTTTTGGCCTCTCAATGGTGCTATGTGGAGGAAGAAAATTCCACCTGAGGCCTTGAAACTATTCTTTCCTTCCATGAGTGCATCTCACTCAATCTTAAGTAATCCCTCTGCGAAGAACAGAAGGTGGAACTCCTAGGAAGGGAATAAGGACCTCTTTCTGCCTTGTCAGAGGCTCTTGGGAGGTATGGAGATATGCCAGCCCCTTCCTGCCACTGCGGGGCTGCTAGATCCTCAGTTGTTTCATCTGAACCTCTTGCCATACCAGAACTTTGATGCACAGAGTGGAGCTTGCCCCCAGCGCTGACACTGGGAGCAACCATTTTTGTCTGGTGTGAAGTTTGGGGGGTGGGGCAAGTCACAGATGTTACAGGGGTGGGTAGATGGGTAAGAGCAGCAGGGCCACCTCCCATTCTGCTCTTGAAAGTATCTAGACTGTGGTCCCAAGCAGGGTTTGTGCCTGTTTCGGTATAAGAACCAAATCTTGGAGGCCCAGAGCACTAGGAGCTGCCTTAGCTTTACTGTTTCTGTCAGTGATATGGTGTGAAGGCTGTACGTACTGCGGTGTCATTTTGCCCCAAAACGGCCAGTAGAAAGGGTTTAATCTGAGCACTTCTGAGCAGGCGTTCATTTGGGAACCCTGCAGCACCTCTCTCTGGGGCTGGGGCACCGCTTACGGATCCAAAGCAGGAGTTTTCAAAAGTGGAGAGGCTCCACATTAGTATGAGCTGGCTTTATTTTATTTTTTTAAGTGTTCTCTTTTCAGTTTGTATTATTTTGTCTCTCTTCTGTGCTGTCCACAGGAGAGCTACTGGGATAAATTTTCAGCAGGCAGGGTTGTACTACCTGCCTCGGGCCTCTTATTTTTGGCTGTAAAACAAGTATTTCTCTTCCTGAGTAAAAAGAATGCTTCAAAGACTGAGCACTGTTCCTTTGTTGCTGCTCTTCAGGAGCCCACTTGATGGGCTGGGATTTGCCTGACAAGTGCATGAGAGCCAGTTGCTGTTCTTTAGGGCTGGCAGATCAATTTGCAGAGTTTCTGCTAGCAGGTCTGGCAGAGGCCCTTTCCTTTAGTAAAAGCAAAGCAAGGATGTTCCCAGAATGTTGTGGAGCAGGAAGACTGAGAGATGCCTGCTAAAAGCTAGCAGTGTGGGACTTGCAAGTGTCAGTTTCAGTGGCAGCATGAGTGAGTCAGATTGGCCCGACTCTGCCAGTCTGCTCAGAACAATCCATGCAGAGGTTGACTTAGATCCATCTGAAACCCAACATGAAGAGCAAGCTGCTCACAGTTTGATAGGAAGGCCGGCCTGGTATCTTAGAATCTCAAGGTGTCAGAAATGTTGGTAAATTGAGATCTTCTGTCCCAAGTGCACATGGGTCAGGGGCAGGTATGACTGGCTTGATCCATCAGTCCTGCAGCAACTAACTATATCATTGGAGAGTTAGGCAGTCTAAATGTGCTAGAAAGCTTTGCTTCTAATGTGGATGCGAATATAGGTGGTCTGTAGGAATCTGATTTCTTTTAACTTGACATGGTCACTACCTAGGTACTTGGCCTTGCAGTGACAGGACATTGACAGCACCCTCCTCCCCATTTTACTTGTGGTAAGTTTACAAAGTGGTTTTGGTATTTTGGGCATGGGCCTATTAACTGTGAGAGCTTTGTCCCCAGAGATTTTTAGGAACAAGTTAGGCAAATGATTGTCTAGGAGAGGAGGCAAAATGTGGTCTGCGGGTTGGATTCAGCATGTGGAACCTTTTTTTTTTTTGGCCAGGCTGTGGCAGGTCCCTTGACCCTGCCAGGTGGTGCTGGGGTACCCCTGTCCCATGCAAGCCTACAGTTCACCCTGGGGTGCCTACTTGGCAGCCCTCAGCCCCACAAGCTTCGCATGGGGCAAAGCAGTGCAAGCCCCAGTGAAGGCTCCAGTCCTCATGGAGACTGCATGCAACTGGGCAGGGAGCTGTAGGCAGTCTGCCCCTGCACTGCTCTGCTCCATGCTAAACTGGTGAGGTTGGGGGGTTGCCAGCATCCTGGGGTGAGCTATGGGATGGGGGGTGCCTCAGCTCCACCCACTTCCCACCCAGTCCCAGCATTGTCTTGTCTGCTGCAAGTGGTGGGGTATGAAGATGCTGCTGGGTCTACTCCCCTCCTTCTGCCTGCCTGTGGGCTGCATGCCCCAAGTCAGGGGAAGGAAGGGAGGCTAAATTCTGTGAGCCTCCTCCGCTGGGTTCACAGCCTTTCATGCCCCTTTATGGGTACTGCAGCCCTTCAGCAAGGCCCAGTAGTAGCTTTCAGCTCTGCCCCCACTGTCACCACCCCAAGATCCAGGTCCTGGACACAGCTCCAGGGAGCTATGTGGGCTGGTGAGGAGCTGTGTCCAGGGTCTGAGCTGGGGTCATGGGGGAGGGTAGTCTCAATCTGCCTCTTGGGGGTGTGCAGGCAGTGGATCATGGCTCTAGCCCAGACCTGCCCCTGCATTGTCACTGTCTGGTGCTCCTATCCTCCCCCACCCCCCCTGCTCCTGAACACCAGGAATTTTGGTGAGTTGCAATATAGGGAAGGAGGAGGGGGAAGGTGCTGACATGGTCTGTGACAGCTACCACAACAGCTTATGCAGCCCTCAGGCCCAAATAATTGCCTGGCCATGTTCTAATTAGCAGGGATGATCCTGCCTTAAGCAGGGGGCTGGACTAAATGTGAATTCCTAACAGTCTTTTCAGTATTACTGTTCTATAAGTAATGACTAAAACAAGGTCTGGTTTTCCTCTGTGGGTGAAGGGAACTGGCAGACTCAAGCCACAGAACCCTCTTACTTGTTACTATAATACAAGTGCAGAATTTGAGGGGTTGGGTTTATTTCCATCATTTTATTTAAAGTTTTTGTACAAAAATGTATTTGAATACCACCATGGAAACCAGTAACAGAACAGATTCAGTGACTTCCTATTTTTTGCCATGTTATGAGACTTAAAGATAACAACAGAAGCCCAAGAGAAAAACAATTTTGCCTACTCCAAGCCCAGCACCAAAGCATTTAATCTTCTGCCCATGCCTCTCTTCCTCCCTCAGAGAGACCAGAGTCTGAGCCTCATCTCACACCCCTACTTCTGCAATCTTCCTTTGTTCACATTACAAAAATATATTTTTCCTTTTGGTCAATTGCTTCTGTTCTATACTGAGTAGCTCTGCCCAGCAGTCATGTGGTAGACTGGAATTGGCTGGCTGCTTACTAGTAGAGGCTACCATCTTGCACTAGAGACCAAGGTGCTAAGTACCTGCAAGTTTCACTGACTTCTTCTATCCATCATGTCATACCCGTGTAGCTGCTGCTTTCGTAATGGGGGTAGCACCAATGCCATGCAGCTCTGATCTCACCTGTAGCAGGTAGTGAGGCTTTCCAGCACAGCTGAACAGGGATGCGTATGCAACCAGTAGCTTGTGTTGGAAGACAGCAGGTCCTACATAGCATCCAAAGGGGTGGGAGAGGTGTAGCTAAGCTAGACCCCCAGCTCACCACTTTTTGTGTAGCAGCAGCAATCAGCTGCCCTGTTTTCAGCATTTCATGCCATGCTGTTCTCATCGATGTTTCCTTTATTAAAAAAAATCCAGAGAGTCCCACAGCTAAAAAAAAAACAAAAACAAACAAACCTGCTGAAGGCTGTCATGATCTCCATGAGGGCCAGTCCAGATCACAGCTTTACGAACTCCATAGTGGCATGGCCACTTAACGCTTCTGCTTAGGCAAAGCTTGTCCTGGAAGCCAAGTCACTATCTAGACTCTCAACTACCCTTGAGGTCAGTGTCATTTTCCAGGCTCCTGCCCAGAAGTACACCTGGCTTCCTTCTGATGGAGGAGGAGGTTGAGTCTTCCCCCTTGCCCCTTTTAAATAGGAAGTCACAAAACCATACTGACTCCCGTGACTTGTTAGGTGCAGTCTCCTTAACAAAACCTATGAGCTTTGGTGATGTCCTTCTGCTGAAGCTGAAAGAAATTGGCGTGCGCTGTTCAATTCAGGCTGCTGCCAGGAAGAGGCAGGCTGCAGGGAGGCTGCTGCCTGCTCCAGCCTCATGGAGTTGGGCAGAACAGCCCTGCCGGGATGGCACTGGGGAGAGGGGGGAAGGTGGGCAGTGAACAGTCTGTGGGACAGCACAGAAGCAAAGAAAGCAGAAAGTGCATTTAAATAGGGAACAATCCAGTGTCTCACAGATCCAGTAAGCCTCATAGAAAAAGTACAGAAGAAATGTTCCCCTCCCCATTCCCAGTTGTTTCAGAACCCCTCACACACTAGAGACCCCCTCTCCATGCTGAGCGGGGTCTCCTTCCTGCCTTGGCAGCTGTGTACAGAACCTTCCAGCTACTCCTGCCCTGTTAGCTTGTGCAGTAGTGTGCCCCTCAGGCCTGCCCCCTGGTACCAGGGCTGCAGGGACAGAGAGGTTCTGCGATGGGCTGGGGTGAAAAAGTGGGGAATCAAAACAGCAGCTGTGGTAAAAGCAAACAGTTCAAAGAAAATCAGATTGTGGTAGAGAAGAGCACAAAAGGAGTGGCCAGTAACACCTGGGAGAGCGAGTGCAGCAAGGAAGGGGGAGAACTCAGTGCCTCAAGTCTGGTCACATTGGTAGCAAGTGGTCATCCCGCTCTTCAGACTCCTCACCCAGTTGGTCATCCCCCACACCGCGGTACGCAGCTGGGGCATTTCGAGGCTTGGAGCGACAGACGAAGTCACAGCCATCCTGTGAAGATAGGTTATTGCATGGAGGTCAGATAGCACATCCATTTTGTGGGACTGAACAAGCCAGCCTGTTCCCTGCTTCTCCTTATGGGCTGTGCCCAGCTTTGAAGCCCCTGAGCAACTGGAAAGCTCCAGAACTCTCAACTCTGGGCCCATCTACACATGTGCAGTAGTGTAGTTCTACTGGACATTAAAGCAGTGCATAAAAAAAACGCTAATATGCTAGCACAGAGTAGAATAGCTACTGCACATTAAGCATCACCTGAAAAGCATGCACTTGCGCTACTGTGCATTAGTGCAGCCTAACACATTAATTTAGTTCCTCATTGGAGATACTAAATTTTAATGCACATTAGGAAGAATACATTGATGTACGTGTAGATACATGCACACATGGGTGCACAGGGGGATCTTTCAGCCCAGCTGGCTTGGGGGTGGAACACTGTGGTTCCTTAAGTGCATGCAACAATGCTGCATTAAGATAGGAAGCAGATGATGAATGCTACAGCTAAGGCAGCTGCCAGATAAGTTTGAGGCAGCCAGGAGGAATTCTCTACATTGGAGCAGCTATGGTTCTATGCTTCACATCTCTCCCTGTGAGAAATGCCATAGGCCCTCAGATGACCCATTTCTGCAGCTGTGGGCTGGAATGACCTGGATCTGGTTCAAGGTGGGCCAGCACTAGGAAACATCCACTGCTACTTCTCTCCCCACTTCCCAGGCCAGATCCTATAACTGCAGGCTGCAGGTTACCAAATGCTGCCAAAGGATCATTAGCAAAGCTTCTAGTGTGCAAGTCAGTTGCTAGACACCAACACTGAAGAGGAAACCTGGACTGAGGAAAGTGTTCCCCAAAACTCATCACCTACTCCCAACCACACAAGAGTCCACCTTGGGAGGAATCTTACCCCACAAGAGTCATCTTGAGCCTCAAACTTGTGAGACCTAATGTGTCTCAAGTCCCCAGGGGCTTCCCCTTCTTCCCTGCTTACAGTTGGGCTGGACTGAGCATCTGTGATAACTTTCACTCACCGCCACCAGGTTTCCCAGATCCTGCCAGAAGGCAAAGTGAGGGAACTGCTCCATGCCCTTTGCTCCCACCACCAGACGCTGGTAGAGGAATCCCCCCACAATGTAGACTGCGATCACTGATGCAAGCCTGGGGAGGAGCATTGAAGATAAAAATGTGAAGGGAAACCAATGGGAACCTGGCCTAGCAGTCTTGTGTTAAGCCTTACAGCCAACAGCTCAGCCCCAGTCAGAAGAAAGAGCCCTATACAGGGGACAGGGGCATAAAACATTCCAGGCAACTGATCTGCCCCAGCTACCCTTTCTTGCAGGGTGGCAAGCAGGTTCTACCATGTAACATCTATAAATGAAATGACCATATGTTCTGGATTGGCCAGAGCTGTCCCAGATTTCAGAAACAGTCTCAGTGTCCCAGCCATTGGAGAAAACTGAAGCAGAAATTTTGGACTGGTGGGAACCCACCTGCACATGCCTGACTCCTGACTAAGAAGCTGGGCAATCTGGGACTTTTGCTTCAACTTCCTCCAGAGAGCCCAATCAATGGGCTGCTCCCTGGTCTGCATTCTGATGGGCTGTAAGTGGAGTGCATTTCCCAGTAGAGCAGGGCATGGGAGGGAGGTCCATCTGCCCTGGAAGCTGCAGGGTTGGAGTGGGGGCTGGTTCATCTGCCCCAGCCTCACTCTTGAGAGCCGCAGAAGGGGGTACACACACTGCCCTGTCCCATAGTGTCCACCTTCATCCCTCCTAGTCCCAGATTTCCTTCAAATTATGGTTACTATGGTCACCCTACTGATAAAGGTCTTGCAGAACCACAGGTGAAAGGCCTTATAGATAGGCAGCAGTGATGGGCCAATGGTCTGTTCTGATAGGGCATTTGTGATGTTCCCAATCAACACCAGAGGCTTGGAACTAGTTCCCTCCAAACGAAAGCCCCAGCAGCAACTCACATAATGAGCAGAATAGAGCCAATGCTGAGGCGAGAGTCCTCAGGTGGGCAGGCCACACTGCTGTCCATCTCAAAGAGGTAGAAACATTCCTGCTCCTTGTCCCGCTCCTCCCATGCCATAACGAAGCTGTCCTGCACGTGGTAGAGAAGGAGACCAGTCTAGAGAAATACACCCCTGACCCCTTCCCAATGGTCCCACCCATCCAGCAGAGAGGCACAGAGAACCTATTCCCACCTCCCCAAGGGCTCAGGCCACAACTGACCCCAGTCTCAGCCCTTCATACTAAAACCCCAATGTAGCTGGCTGCCTGCTAAGCCAATCAAAAGGTAACACACCCTCTACTGGTGCACAGACCCATTGCTCAGTGGTGAGGACCAAAGAGCCCATCCCCAGTGCTCCCTCCATTTCCCACACGCAGCAGCCATTCCCCAGCCCCCAAAGGCCACTCACATTCCGGGCCTTCCGGTTGCATGAGATCATTATCAAGGCCTTTCTCTTCTCATAGAGACAGTGAGAACCATAGGAGTCACCTCCCTTGTAAATCAGCAAGATCCAGTCACCTATGAAGAAAAAGAATGGTCAAGCTGCAGGCTGGGGCAAGGGGCTTTAGCAGAGTCAGGCTCAGGGCAGAGTGGGAGCTCAAGGGGATTCTTACTGCCGTTGATTATTTGGGTCTCGTTGATTCTCCCGATCACCGTCTTCTTTTGGGTCTTCCCATTGGTCTGCACAACGCCCGATTCGGCCAGAGCGCTGCTGACCTCCCTGCACACCCGGAATTCGTAGGTGTAGTTCTCTGTACCCGAAACCACATCCGTGTGAAACCTGCAGTGGGGGCAGGTGCCAGAGACTCTATTTAATCCCACCCTGGGTCCCATGTTCCCAAGCACTCCTCCACATTAGAGCCTCTCCCTCAGGGCCAGTCAGACCCTACATGAGTCAGAGGTGTGGGCCTACCCCCCTCAGAGAGGACACCTCACTCCCCACCCCTCCGTCAACAGGATCATTGAGAGGGGAAACCCCATTGGCACCACAGGGAGGGCATGGACACAAGCTCCTGCCTGGACACACCTCTCTGGACATGGAGAAAGGCAGTGTCTTGTCACTGCAACCCATTCAGGCCCTCAGAGGGATGGCCAAAACTGCCCAGGAGTGTGCTTGCGAGTACAGCTATGCCAGTGGTTCTGTGCTAGGGGCTGCTTCCTACCAATTAACAGGCTGGGATCCTCCAGGCTCATTTCACCCAAGGTGTCAGGGGCCAAGTGAAGCTAGTACCCTAGAGAACTCCACTCTGCCATCCCCTGCAAGCCAGTCAGCAGCTCTAGAGCTGAAACTGGATTGGACAAGACCCACACCCAGGCCCTACAGCAAGCCAGCAGGTACCTGCACCCTACCTTGCGCCCATCAGGGGCCCCAACTTCTTCAGCAGTTCCTTCTCCGTCTTTGATTCTTTGTCCTTGTCCCCAACCAGATCACAGCTCTTTTCCCCTCCCTGCTCTGCTGCCATAACCACGGCCATAGCCAGCAGGACGAGCAGCACAGCCCCGGCATGGCAAAAACGTGGCATCCTGCATGCACGCCAGTGCAGGGGCAAATAAAAAGGCCAAGGATTAGCCCTTTACAACACTCCTCCACATCCCAACACAGAGACAGTGCTTAGCTGCTTCCCAGTCCTGACTGAATGGGGGAGCAGGGCCCAGAACACCTTAGAGACCTCAAGAGACATAACTCCCAGCTCCAGCCCAGCCAAACTGCCAATGCAACACAGGCTGTGTTAGGCTGAACAGAGTTGGAAATTGGGTTCAGCTTCAGAACGAGTCTTTGCCTGCTGCACCCCTAAGGGGCATCTGTCAGTACACACAACTCTCCTAGCATTCCCATCCACTGTCTCTGCTGTACTTGGGGGGGGGAGATGGTGGGGGGAGCAGGAAGGAAACCAGGGTTGAGAGGGGGAGGGTTGGAGTGACTAGAGTTAGGCTTGATCCGTTTCAAGTTCCTTAATCCTAATAATTGTATCTATTACTGCTACTACTACCACTAGGCTGCCCTTCCCCTAGCTTCGTTGTAGTACATGTAGAGGGCTTTCAGATTCTCAGCACATCTGGTCAGCCCAGAATAGTCCTGTTTCACTGGTGGGGAAAATGAAGCGCAGAAGTATCTGGGTATAAGACTGACTACAGGATCAGTGGCAGAGCTAGTCGTAAAACCCAGAAGCCCTGGTTTCTACCTCAGTCATAAAATCATGCCTTTAATTCAGCTAAGGGAAGCAGACACTCATCCTCCCAACTACAATTCCTAGTAAAAGTTCAGACACTTGTAAAAACTAATTCGCGGACACAAAACTTTTTCCACAGAGCAGGCAGGGGCTGGAAACCTATGAGTGTTCTTCCTATGAGTGTTCCCAGTATTCAAAGCACTGCTAGGTCTGCTAAAACTTGTAGCTATCTCTTGTTTGCCTGCTCTGCACAGTGCAGTAAGCAGCCAAAAGGGAAAGGTAATTGTCATTTTACAGCTGGGGAAACTGAGGCACAGGCAGCTTGTGACTTGCCCCCTACTAGGGCACAAGAACAAGAACTCATTCATAGCCTTGTGTTCAGTGCCGTGCTCAGAAAGTGCCTCTCCCAGCTTTCTGCTGGGCTCCTCTGCAGCTCTTTTGCAACCTGCCTTCATCAGAATGGAAATGGCACAACAGCACAACCAGTCCCCAGCTCTCTGGGATCTTTCACGCCCTGCAGTCGACATGCGAACAGACCACTCTCCCCTGCTGAAATGAGGCCACCTCACGTTAAGGGCATTACAGAACTTGGCCCCCCTGCTGCGCAGGAACCGCAGGGCCAGCCTGGCATGTCACCTGGCCTGGGGGAGGCCGACCTGCTGCTGCAGCAGTGCCCGTGCCAGCAGCAGCAGGGACTGCCTCCCAGCGCGGCCCCGGGGCGAGGGCAGCAGAGGCCGGGGAGCAGAAAGCAGAGCACAAGAAAAGAACCGGAGCGGCCCTCCGTCAGGGCCCAACTCGCCTCCCCCAACCCCTGCCTGAGCCAGGGCCCATCCAAGCCGCCCCCACACGGCCTGACGCGCGGCAACCACGCCGCTGGCAACGCCGGAGCAACAGGCAGACCCCCGGCAACAGGCAGACCCCCGGCCCCGGCCGGCCCGGGGATCCAGCGCCGCAGCAAGGCCCCGGCTGCGGGCGGCCGAGGAGGGCGGGACCCGCCACGTGTGGCGACACGAGGGGAAAGAAGCGCCTTCCCAGGCCCGCCCGGACTTACCTGGCCGCTGCCGCAGGCCGAGCCCCGGCTCCCAGGGGCGGCACCGAG